GTTCTATACTTGACTAATAGTAAGGGTTATTAATGAACGGTCGTTGTTAATAACTACCCTCGATGAATTGGATATACTCCTCGATTGAGTTTGCGAGAGGAGATAAGTTATAGATATAACAATGATCGACTAAAATATATCAACAAGTGGAAAGTAGCAATGCCAAGTCCTTTTATCTTTGAATTAAATCACATATAAGTCGTTCATCTTCGTGTTTAATTTAATTAAATCATTCAACCATAAAACACCCCCTTTTTTTATTTACTAGTTATTTGAAAAGAGAATTATTCCTTTCCCTGTGGATACGAACTCTACTACGCTATACTACGTATAAGTGTTAGTATTGAATTTATTTTGACGCACCGTGACAAAGTGCACGTCAGTGACCGGTGAAGCCAACAGTGGGCCACGAAACACTCTGTTGCTGGCGGCGTTTTACCAAGAACGAAACGGCAAAACCTATGGACGCTGCAGTGAGATTCCCCTGGTGTAGCGAAACTCACCGGAGGATCCATGGTGGCGCGAACGGCCGCGGTGGGTCCGGCAACCCCAACTCAGATATGAAAAAATCCAGATTTGGACTTTTAGGATCCATAGCTTCCTCGCTCCTTCCTTCCCCAGAATCCTTTCTTTCTTTGCTGAAAATCCAAATCTTTGTACAAACTTTTCTTCTTAATTGCTGAAATCCAGTCTGTTTAGCATGAATTTCTTGTAGAAACTCAAGAACAGTAGAACACACGAATCTTTTTGGATAGATTCCCACAGACGGCGCCAGTGTTGAGTTTAATCCAACACGATATAGTAAATATATGTATAAATGTGTATGATCCGGGGTATTAAAAAAAATGTGTATGAACAAACTATTTTTACGTGGAAACCCGAAAGGTAGAAAACCACGGGACTTTTTAGGCTAATGTCCAAACCCGAAAGGAAGAAGAATAAGCTCAAGAAAAAAGGATCCTTTTACATGGAGGCAAACCTTCTATTTATAGATAAAGGGAGAAAGGGGGTTCTCCACCCTAATGGGCCGAAATGGGCCCGAAGGCCGAAACAGGCCTGATAGGCTAAAATGGGCCTCACTGAATGGGCTTCGTACTACGTAAAGTCTTGAGCTCCTGAACAGTAATAGGCCGGGATAATATATCACAACACTTACAATGAACAACCGAAAGACAACCGCAATTCAAGCTAGATTTCTGCTTTACGTTTAGCAATCCTACAGGCCGGTTGGGGCTCCACGCTCTTTTTGGGGCACTGAACTTTTCAAGGACGGTGTCGTGGAGAGAAGGGTGGGGAGTGGAGGAAGACGAGCTGCGGATCCTTGCGTGGGAAATTTCCTCCAGCAAGCTATCTGAGAACGATGAAGCGTTGTGCGCTTGCTTGGTTTGATTGGTAGGACTTGTGTGCAATTTTGGAGAGGAATTGGACTGGTTTTATGATTCCAAGCAATTTAAAAATAAATGTGACTAGGAAGACTTTACCAATACAGATCAGCCACATGGCTGATGTACCGAAACAGGCACCGTAAAAATTTCCTTTTTCTTTTTATTTTCTCTTTCCTTTTTCTCCATTTTTTCTTCTTTCTCTCGTCATTCAGCTGCTAAGCTCCTTTCACTCGTTGCAGGTCTCCACTAAGCTTAGAAGGGGCTGGGAAGCGGTGGTTATGGAAGGTATCACCATTGTAGAGCTTCTTTCTCGATTCCCCCATTAATGGATACGAATTTTGAGTCCAATTTGATTAAAAAAAATTGAGTCCAATTTGTGGTGGCTATGGAGCAAGGCAGCGGCGGTAGATACCGTGGAGGTGGTGCCTGAAGGGAGCTTCGGCTTCACTAATTCGATCTGAGGTCAGTCGTTGGCCTCCGTCATCGATGGGTCATATGAGGGATGCTGGTGTTCGGCGGCGGACGACATAGATAGGACACGAGAAAGTTCCTCTCAGTGACGGGGTTGGAGTTAGGGCTGAAACTGCGCAAGGAAGAGGAGGAGAGGAGAGATTGTAGAAATTGTCAATTGGGCTTGTCGGCGAGTGGCGGCAACTCCTCCGGCAAAGCTATGGTGTTGTGTTGCTGTTGTACTCTTGTATGTATAGCCGTAGAGGTGATCTGGCCATCTGGGGAGTACCGCAAACAGTGTGCAATGGAGAGGAGTCGAAGAAAGAATAAAAGAAACAAATTGAAGAAAGAAAAAAGGGAGAAAGAAAAGAAAGAGAAAAATGAAAAGAAAAGGAAAACTGAAATTTAAAGAGTAGTAAATACTCCGTACTAAATAGTAAAAACAAAGTAAATTAAATTTCCACACATGCAAGTAACCTGCTACCGGTTGCTCACCCGTAAAATGGCTCATTTGACTATTTTTTAATCCTTCGAGGACCTAATTAATTCATTTTAAAGTAGAAGGACTCAATTGACTTTTTCTTAAAAGTATAATGACCTATTTAACAGTTTTCCCTTAAAAGAAAAGAAAAACTTGTTTATACACGTTTTGCGTACGCCTTGTTGTCTATCCATTTAGGCAATTCTTTAAGAAGCTTCATTGAACACACAACTAGGGGTGTGTATACAAAATGTGTAAAAACATGTACATCAAGCATCTCTCTTTCTTCTATTGATTAAGTCTTCGCTCAGGCCAGACTGGATCCTTCCAACCTTATGACCGAGCATGTACATCCGAACTATAAAAAAACAACATGCTTGATGTACCCACTCTTATACCCACCATATACCCACCATGTTTGTGGAAGTTTTTTTTTTGTCTGTGAACCCGGTTCATAGACAATATTTTGTTTGTGCAAAATATTGTCTGTGAGCCGGGGTTCACAGACAAAAAAAACACTTCACAAACATAGGTGTGTACAAAAGTGGGTATAAGAGTGGGTACAAAGATCATTTTTGATATAAAAAAAATAGGCAGTGAGGAGCAGGCCATGACGGAAGTAAATGAGGAAGCTATCGATCCTATTTTATCTGTCAGCGAAAAATACTCATTCTTTTAAGAATAGGGGTTTACTTGGTCCTCTTTCAAATTAAAAGATCTTTTCTACATAAAATTCACCTCAACCTTGTTCTTGTGCCACAAGTCATCCGATTCATCTCTCAGCTCACAAATACTACCTTTTTTTTTTAGAAAAATAAGAGATTTGGAGGTCTCACGATTCCCGCGTAAATTAACAAATCAAGTTGCTTTGTAAAAATGGAGAAATACAAGGGGGGTTTCATCGAGATACCCATGGGACCCAATAACTCCAACCTAGTTAAATTCCTTAATATATTTTCTAATTTTGTAGGGCTCTCAAAGTCCATGCACGACGACTCAATATCTCTTCAACGTGGGAATTACTTCACACAGAGGACCCCACGTCCTTATCTAAGCTGATTTTTAATTATCAGCTCCAGGTGACTCATATCAAACCATCCAAGCCACGTTCTTAATTCATGTATGTTTAATTTTGGGTCAGGTTTAAACCCCCCAAAAAAATTCTTTTCTTTTTTATTCCTATTGACTATTGATTCATGTATTTGTAGAGGTATGCCTCTACGAAGAGGTTTTGGCTTGGCACACTCTCTTTTGTATTCACTTTTAGTTCTAACAAAACACTAGTAAACGTTCCCAGACGTTTACCCCACTGACTTTGGTGATTTACCTTATGGGATAAAAAAATATCAAATACAGGCGGCAAATGCAGAAATTAACCATGTCTTCTATGCTGGGAAACAACCCTAGCTGCCATTGAGCCAAGCTTACTCAGATGCATCTGACGATTTTGATCATTCAAATGACTCACTCTTTACATATCACTTCTTGGGACACACAACCGAGAGCGATCACCATCCTCCTTTTTCATACCCCGAGGAAATAAGGAAATCAAAATTCAATACAGCGATCTGTCACAAAGCTAATTAAGTTCATAACCTCTAGAAAGCTACTTGTCGGCTGACAACTTCAACACACAACTAAAACTCTACAGGAATTCTCAAAAAACAAAAAGCGTCACAACATGAGAACCAGGTCCCAATCCAAAGATTTTCCATGGGATTAGCTCTTTTCTCTTTTCGTGCTGCTTTTCCTTTGACATAGTACTTTTATTTTTTCCTTTCATGTACTTTTATTTTATTTTTTCCCTTTTTTGCATTGTACTCATATTTTATCTCAATAAAATAATTTTTGCCCCCATATATATATATATATATGTATATATATATACATACAGAGAGTAGTCTTCCAGTCCAGCCGGTCTGACGGGAACCACCGTCTGACCGAGGGCATTTCGGGCACTTCCGGGTGGACTTTTTTGAGCATTTTCTTCATGAAGTCTAGTTTATCCATACCAAATTTTCAACTAAAAATTAAATTGGGAAGGCACTCAAATAATTTGTTGAAGTTAATTGGGCAGTTCATACATATAAACTGCCCAGTTAACTTCAACAAATTATTTGAGTGCCTTCCCGATTGAATTTTTAGCTGAAATTTGGTATGGATAAACTAGACTTCATGAAGAACATGCTCAAAAAATTTCATCAAAAAATTCCACCGGGAAGTGCCCGAAATGCCCTCGGCCGGACGGCGGTTCCCGTCAGGCCGGCTGGACATGAAAAATTGTCTATATATATATATAATTGAATATATGAATAAAATGCTATATAAAATAAAACATTGATTCGTCGTTCATCTCATTCAAATATAAATATTAAGGAGTATTATATTACCCAAAAAATTAATAATTTATAATAAACACATGTATGTAGAAGTATATTTGTAGTATATTATTTTTTTAAATATGCATACTTATATATTTAGCGGGACGACACAAATCAATAATAATACCTGGATCCGCCCCATTATATGAGCAAACAGAGTGGACTCGCCCCATTTGCAAGATGGGCCGGGCAAGACCCAACCCAAATACCTCCGGCCAGGGCAGATCATTGTGGATCGAGTTTTTTTTACATGCCTAGGTCCTAGCCTAGCCATTGACAGGCCCAGGTACGTTTGAGGGAGATTGGACAACTCCTAACTTATTTATTTAGAACTCCTTACTTATACGGAGTATTACTTCAAAAAAATACTTATACGGAGTATTTAGTCACTGTAAAAAAAACTTATATCTAGTTTAGATGATAACTTTATCCATCTATCCCACGAGTAAGAAGAACTAAAATTGAATCATGGCAACGAGTTATGGCGATAATTTTGGTAAGAATTTGATGTATTGAAAAAGTAATCGACGGGACGGCGGGGGTGATTGATTTCGTTTTGTTTCGGTTGGCTTCTTCAGGGTCATGGCTCCCGCAGCATCGGATGGTTTTACCTTTAATGATCCTCGCAGGATTGGGGTTTGGAATCGGAACTGTAATCTCTTCACATTTACGCCTGAAAAAGATGGTATTTTTAGCTTTGGTCATTGATACTATTTTGTTTTTTCCCATTAATTTATGTGTTCTGCAACCATATTTCATGTTTTGGGTCGGTTTTCGATTGTTCAAAATCATAAGCATATTACAATTACAACTTTTGTTTGTGAAGATTTCATAGGCTCCATCTTAAAACAAGCAAACAAAAAGCAAAAAAAAAGGGTCATGTTTCTTTAAAGTTTATGCAAAGTTACAACCCTTTTGCAGCATGCGTCCTGCTTATATTTTGAAATTATTTGTTTACTAAACTAAATATATTAATATAGTATGCCTAACTTAGTTGGGACATATTCTTTTGTTCTGTTGTAACAATCAATTTTATTTCAACGAAAAAATATAGTTAATTTGAATGGAAAAGGATTTCTTTTGGTGAAAGGTGGTTCTTATGTTATATGAAAGGGCAAACTTGTGGATGGTCAAGTTCCAATCACCTTACCTGAGTGTTTTTCCTTTGCGGTAATGATTTATGTAAATCAAGTAATTATGGTTTGCAATTCAATTAGGAGATGAAGGATGATGATGGCTACACAGGGGAGGACCTTATAAGTGCAATGCCAAATGATATATTGTGCTCCATCCTCTCACGTATGGATACAAAAGATGTGGTTAGGACTAGCATATTGTGTCGCAGATGGAGTAACCTCTATCTTTTTCTGCCTTATTATTCTTTTAGCTGCCGATGCTCGTTCGAGATTCCTTTCTTTGGCCAGTGTAGTTGTACAGCTGAGAACAAGAAGAAATTTCTGACTGTCTTGGAACAGTTTTTTAGAATCCCTAGAGGAGCTGGCTGTGAAAAGATTAAATCTTTCAGCCTGTCATTGTGTGTGAAGAGAGATTTCATGTGTCACATCGACCGTTGGGTGCGTCACATTGCTGGATGGGGTGTGGAAGAGCTTGCATTCAGGCTGTGTTGTCAACAGAATACAGAACAAATCACATTTCCGCTTCAGAAGCTTTTATGCAAAGCAGCAGCAGCACCGATGCTCAAATCTCTGCATTTGGTCGCATGCGTCCTGGAACCCTTCAATCCCCAACGGCCTTTCAAGTCTCTAACATCCCTAAGATTGGGTTATATCGAATCAGTTGATGTGCAGGGCATATTGTCATCATGTCCGGAACTTGAGTCTCTAACATTGGAGTATTGCCGTCTTCCTTCTAAGGTGTTCATTGGTGGAGGGAAACAACTGAGGTTGAAATCATTAACCATTAATGGGTGTTATGGGGGGGTCGAGGAGATATCTCTTTGTGCTGAAAACCTTGTAATCTTGGAAGTTGAATTTCAGACAGATTCAGCAATGTTTTCTCACCCTACCAATGTCCCCAAGCTCCAGCATTTCAGCATTTCGGTAATTCGCCCCATTGATATGAGGCACATCATTAGCTGGGTAGGAAAGGATTGTCCTCAGGTTGAATCTCTTTATCTTGATTTCTGGTTGGGAGACCACACTTGCTCATATAGTTTGCCACGTGAGGTGCCCACATTTGGTCGTATGAGGCAGCTTTACATACTAATGGAGTTCAATGAGTTGTTTGATGTGACCCAAGTTGCTGCTTTAATGACTGGCTGTCCACTGCTTCAGAGATTGCATTTAGTGGTGAGTCCCCTTCCTTAGTTAATTAGGAGGAGTGGGTATTCTTTATTAATTAATTAATGGTTTGCTTGGATTGAGGTGATCCTGGGTAAAATTATTTGATTCACCTTTATTGGGAACTTCATATTTGATACTGGTATTATTAAAATAAGCTGGATCCATTTTGACAGAACAAAACTTCTCTCTCCCTCTCTCTAAGCAAAAACCTATGCAGAAGAGTGCATTTGCTAACGTTAAGCTGTGTCCAAACCTTGGGTATTTCAGTGTTTGTTTCCAGGAAAAGGCATTCTGTATTTTCCTGTGTTTGGCACACGAATACAACTTCCTGGAAAAGGACTTGCATCTTTTGAAAAAGAGGGAATCATTTTTCATGAAACATGCAATCCTTTTTGTTTCCTTTTGTTTTCTTTTGTTTTGTGGGTTGAACACTGTTATAATATATCTATACATACATGCAAGAGAACATCTCGTTGGTTTACTAGGAATCCATCAGTTTGTTTTTAGTTCTCCAGCAAACAAACACTGCTGGATAATGATGACAAGTTTCCATGTTTGCAGGGAAGGGGGAGAAAAGTAGTCCATTCTTTTATTAAGAGGAGTGTACCTCTCAGTAATAATAATCTTCATCTTCATCTTAAAGAAGTAGAATTTGGTGGGTTCCTTGGTTTGGAGAATGAGTTTGCTTTGGTATTGTATATCCTTAAAAGGGCTTGGTTTCTAGAGAGGATGGTGTTAAGCAGGGATTATAGGTGGTATACTGGTGCAAATGGAAGGTGGGAGGAGAGAAAAGATTACATAGGGCCTACTTGGTCAGAAAATCCACCGTATACTGTCACGTTTGATCACACCAAATCACAAGCAATCCATCAGCGATTGAGAGGGCAGGCTGCTTCTCCAACAGCGCAAGTGATCGTCATTTAGGATAATGTGCTCTTTCCATTTTTCCCTTCTAACTTATTCAGTTTAAATTTTAAAATTTTAATTGTTTGGTTTGCTCTCGTGATTATTACCTATGTTGTCAAAACTGGACCAAGAGGTGACACGGGTAAGGGACCGGATCAAGGGTCAACCCGGTCAACGTTTATATATATGTGTGTGTGTGTGTGTATTGGTTCAAATAAGAACAAGTCTTAATTTAAGAATTGAGAACAAATCTGAACCATTCAAAATACAACACGCTATGTTGAGATGAACGAATGAGTAGAAGAGGGCATCTTTGTAACCTTCTTTTCGTTAGTTTTTTGTAACTGTCATTTGCAATTAATACAAACATTCCAATTTAGTAAAGGAACAAGTAGGTTCCATATTGTAGTTTATTTTTCACTTTAGTTATCTTCCCCATTTACATAAATTTACACATTCTTGGGAAGTAAATAGTGTTAGTTCGTAGGAAATAAAAGGAAGGAAAATTTCTCTTACTCTTATTTTTTCTTCTTCGTATTAGTTTTCTATTTATTAATCACTACTACATCAATTTATATTTCTTAAATGTAATTATCACAATTCATAATTTCTTAATCACTACTACATCATTCTGTTGCAAGTTATTGTAAACTATCAGAATCATTATCTAATAAGCTAACAACACACCTTATGCACAATCTAACACTACTTGCACTATTATGTCATTCAAATGAGCATCACACTTACTTTTACACTTTCTGCAAGTGTAAAAGTAATTTTGCACATTCATAGTTTCCATAAGTTTTACATATTCTACGTCTTAATTTTGCATATTTTGCTCACTTATATGCATTCGTACAATTCACTTTTGCACTATTGTGTTGTACAAATGCAAACAACCACATTTACGCTACTAAATTTCAATTTATATTTCCCATTATAGTTATCACAATTTATCATATCTTAATCACTACTACATCATTTTAGTGCACATTATTGCAACTACCGGAATTCTGATCTATAAAAAACAGACTCCCCTTCAAGGTTATCAAAAGCGCTCCCCCAGCGCTTAAGCGCACAAGGCGCAGCGAGCAAACCCCCCAATGCCTGGAAATATGTGAAGCGCACGTTCCCGGGTAAGGCGCAGTATAGGCGCAGGTGCGCATCAAGCGTTGAAGCGCTATAAGTGCACACTTGGGTCGCCTGAGCCGGAAAAGGCTGCTAGCCTTTTTTTTGTTTAAAACTTTCAAATACAATTAGCCCATATCTTTAATTAACACTAAGCCCATGAAAATATTTGGGTAAAAACAGTAAAACCTACGGTAAAACTAAGTCTAAGTGTGTAAACACGTAAAACTTGAGCAAGACACTACTGCTATCATCGCTAGCCATCCTCGCTCTTCATTCTCCTCACTCGACACTGAAGCAGCTCTAAACCAGCCAGTTCTTTAAGCTTTCATCATCATCTCAAGCAAACTCAGCTCTCCCTCGCAGCATTAAACAAGGTATGTCTTCTTTTTCATGCACATATTCATATTACACTGGTGTCTAAATATTAGCGTAAATGTGTAATGAAGTAATAATACTACGTATTAGTATATTAGTATGTATATAATACTCATAGTACTTAAATATATGTACTCTGCTTTGTGGTTTTGTAAAGATATTTCTCTGTAATCTTTCAGAGTATAATTCTTGTGTTTTATAAAGATTGCTTTAAGTGTGTTGTCTTAACTTTAAATATGTTACTCAGTTCTGTCACTTGTGTTTTATAAAGATTAAAGATATTTACTCTGGTAGACCCAACTAGAGTAAATCATGGCTGTTAACAAAGGGCTGAGTATAACATGTTTTTCGAAGTTGATATAATGATATCCACCTTTTACAACACACAAGATGACAAATGCAATGGAAAACTAAAAGAACATGATAAACACACAACCAGCTTTGTGTTTTTCCATTATTGAGCAGCCATATTTGAGTGTTTGGCCTATAAATATATTATATATGTACTCTACTTTGTGGTTTTCCAAAGATGTTTTCCAGTGTATTAAATAATTCAAGCTTTGTGCTTTTCCAGGATATGGAAGGTGGAACATGTGCTGCAGTTGGTGCTGAAATTGAAAACTCTACAAAAAATGACGTATTAAAGCCATGAATTCTGAATTTGGAGTTTTATTTTTGTGAATCATGACTTTATTTTGGTGAATCCTAGCTTTTTTAAGCAATTGGTTCAATATGATGTTACATACATCATATTTGGTAATAATAGAATTGTATATGTGATTTTATCTAAGTAATGCGCTTCACCCGAGTCAGGCGAGCGCCTTTTTGCGCCTTAGGCGCTGGAAGGCCCCTAGCGCTTCAGGTGCGCCTTTCGACTTTGACTACCTTGCTCCCCACCTTATTACAATCCAAGCACGACTTCCACTTTGATTTCATTTAAATGCACATGTATGCTTGTTTTTATCACTTTATATTTCCTTATTTTAATTATTAAAAAGCACACCATTATTTGAAACTACATCACCATACTGCACATAAATTTAAACAATCTGAATCTAATATCAAAATAACTTGTGGATATAGCCGATGATAATCAATTATGGTAGTTTCCAAACTAGTTTTGTAAAATTCCTGGATGAAATTTTCTCTGCTATAAAATTTTCTTTGCTATAAAATGGCCGTTTAGTTTCAGGTCTCATTCAAATGGCAGTGAAGTTTGAAGGAGATTTTGAATAGTTGATTCATATAGGAATTTCATCAAAGTCTAGATTCTGTAAAATGTTAGAGAACACAAATGTTTGTATTATGTCCATATGACTGATATCAGTAAGTATCCTATGAACAGAACAAAAATTAGTCATCATAGGAAAAAACATGTTTTTGCATGCTTTTCAGTGTGCAGGTTTTTCATTCAGTGATGTTCAAACCATTGGCAAATATCCAACCGTAGCATGATTAATATACTGTGATCAGTAGTTCAAAGCAGAGCATAACATTTGTAATATAGAGTCATTAGTATGTTGAGATTCGAACCATGTTGGATTGGTTTTTGTAACTTGAATTGTCTTTTTACACCTAAGATAATCTGACATGTTCTAAACCAGTTCAACCCTTTTGGAGTTTCATAGAAAATTCAAATTATACACATTTTCCCTTATTTTGCTGATATGACCAAGTATGTTGAATCCCCCCCCCCCCCGCACTCCAAATTCCATTGTTATCAATTCAAAATTTGTGCAACACAATTGGTATCGTTAAGAAAAGTGATCAAGTTACACAGGTTGGTTTGCTATAAGTTTGCTACCCTTCATTTCCTAAAAAAAGTCCCAGCAGAAAGGCTGGGTTGCCTTATTGTGAAACCTCTGTAGGTTTTGATATGTGCCAGACTGATTAAAGTTTGATTTCTTTAAGATGGTTCATCTTTGTAAGGAGATTGATTGTATTCCTACTTAGGGTACTATTGTCATCTGTTGTGACTAGGGCTGGACTCGGGCCGGTTCGGGCCCGGTTCGGGCCTGGGCCCGGCCGGGCCTCGGGCCAGGAAAGGGGAGGCCCGAGCCCGAACCGCCGGTGGCCGGTTCCGGGCCAAACCGGGCCGGGCCGGGCCGAACCGGCCCATTTTTTTTTTGTTCTCCTATTTAATCCCCTACCCCTCCCCCTCAACCCCAAACCATCCCAAACCACCTCAAATGGCCCAAAATACCTAATCCAACCTAAAACTTAAAAAAAATTCAAAAAAAAAAAATAATTAAAATTTGGCCCGGACCGGGCCCGAACCGGCCGGGCCGGTTCACCAAAACCTGGGCCCGAGCCCGGACCGCCCAGCACCCGGGCCGGGCCAAACCGAACCGGTGGACCCACCGGGCCACGGGCCGGGCCAAACAGTGACCGGGCCGGTTCGGTCCCGGGTCGGGCCGCCCGGCCCGAGTCCAGCCCTAGTTGTGACGTGAAAAGGTAATAGCTCAGTGCAAGTAGATGATGTAAAATTAGCAGGCCAGTTTGTCCAGTTTTGGTGTTCCTTTGTTTCCGCATTCTTTGTTGGATTTTAACTGCCCTGTGTTTTGCATTTGTACTTCTAGCAACACATTTTGTGCTCAAGTAATTTACCTATCTCTTTTTCTCTTATAGCTCTCTAGTAGGTGGTTGTCATGTATGCTAAGTGTTTGACGAAATGTCTGATAGAGTAGATAATCTAGAGCATGCTCTCAATTAGATTGTGTCTGCACTAAATATTTTCATTTAACTTTCTAGTGTGTGGTTTTATAGTATATAAGTAAACTACATTATCTAGAATTCATTAAAGTGTGCCTATAAAGAGTTATTAACATGTCTTTTTATTGTTGACAGTTCATGAAGATTACAATTTGTGTTGTGTATTGATGTTGGAACAACTTATAGCCTTAGTGCATGTTGCTAATGTTTAATATCTCTCTAAAGCTTTAATGTACTTCTTTGAATGACTTATAGCATGTTGCTAACTTTTCCAATTATAATGACAAGGGCATGATTTTTCAAAAGGTGGAATCGGGTTAGTAAAAAAGCACCAATAATCAAGTAATCAACTGAGTATACTAATCAGTTTAGTAGACAAAGACTGGTTTGATATATGTATATAACTTATGTAATAGAGTTCAGACTAATAAAAATATTAGGGATAAGAGTCAGATAGGGCCTCGAACTCGAAAAAAATGTCAAATAAGGTCATATTTAGGATGCTCTGTCCGGCCGACGCCATTTGGGGTGGTTCCCGATGGAATTTTTTGATGAAATTTTTTGAGCATCTTCCTCATTAAGTCTAGTTTACTCATACCAAATTTCACCTAAAAATGCAACCGGGAAGGTAGTCAAATGATTTTCCGAAATGTACGACGTTGTTTAACTTCACAATTATCTTCAAAAAATCATTTGACTACCTTCCCGGTTGAATTTTTAGATGAAATTTGGTATGGGTAAACTAGACTTAATGAGGAAGATGCTCAACAAAATTCATCAAAAAATGGCATCTGGAACCGCCCCAAATGGCGTCGTCCGGACAGAGCATCCTAAATATGACCTTATTTGACATTTTTTTCGAGTTCGAGGCCCTATCTGACCCTTATCCCAAAATATTAATATCTTATTCTTTAACAAACAGTTTAGCTTATAAATATTAAGTGACATGACCCGGGACCAAACGACGTGCAGAAGCATGAAAACATGGCGGATTATTTGATTTTGACATGCACTCGGTCGGGTGGGCACTTGACCCAGTCGGGTACCCGGCCCAAGGTGTTGGAAAACACCTATAAATAGCCCCATATTCCTTCACTTTTAATAATCCCTTCTTCCATACTCTTAAGCTCAGTTTAGAATAGTATTTCTTTTATATTTTTATAGCATGTTGATTATTAAAGTTGTGAGTTATTTTCTTAACTTCTTTCCTTGAATATTAATTCTTCCTTTAAATACTATTTCTATATCAATGTTGGAGAGTGTTACTAAGATGACAATTAGTTAACATCTTGACATTAGTTATAGTAATAGTTATTTCTTCCTCTATGTTAATATTGGGGAGTGTTACTAAGATGACAATTAGTTAACATCTTGATATTAACTATAGTAGGATTCATCTTCTTTAATATTCTTCCTTGAGTATTAATTAATTCCTATTCATATTTCATATTAATATTTTGAACATTACTTAAAGGATCAATTAGTTTTGCTTCATATATTAATTATTACTAGAAACGATCAACAAACCGATGGTTAATCGTTGGTGGTTTCACAAGTAAGTAACTTCGGTTTATTAATGCACGGTCGTGGTTAATAAACTTAAGAGGGATTAATTTTGTTGGTTAAACCGAAACCGTTGTGTTGAGGTTATTAATCTCAATTGATTTCATCAAGGAGTTAAGAGATTAAATGCTACTATCAAGTCGGTATATGGCGGTGTTATATACTTGACTAATAGTAAGGGTTATTAATGAACGGTCGTTGTTAATAACTACCCTCGATGAATTGGATATACTCCTCGATTGAGTATGCGAGAGGAGATAAGTTATAGATATAACAATGATCGACTAAAATATATCAACAAGTGGAAAGTAGCAATGCCAAGTCCTTTTATCTTTGAATTAAATCACATATAAGTCGTTCATCTTCGTGTTTAATTTAATTAAATCATTCAACCATAAAACACCCCCTTTTTTTATTTACTAGTTATTTGAAAAGAGAATTATTCCTTTCCCTGTGGATACGAACTCTACTACGCTATACTACGTATAAGTGTTAGTATTGAATTTATTTTGACGCACCGTGACAAAGTGCACGTCAGTGGCCGGTGAAGCCAACAGTGGGCCACGAAACACTCTGTTGCCGGCGGCGTTTTACCAAGAACGAAACGGCAAAACCTATGGACGCTGCAGTGAGATTCCCCTGGTGTAGCGAAACTCACCGGAGGATCCATGGTGGCGCGAACGGCCGCGGTGGGTCCGGCAACCCCAACTCAGATATGAAAAAATCCAGATTTGGACTTTTAGGATCCATAGCTTCCTCGCTCCTTCCTTCCCCAGAATCCTTTCTTTCTTTGCTGAAAATCCAAATCTTTGTACAAACTTTTCTTCTTAACTGCTGAAATCCAGTCTGTTTAGCATGAATTTCTTGTAGAAACTCAAGAACAGTAGAACACACGAATCTTTTCGGATAGATTCCCACAGACGGCGCCAGTGTTGAGTTTAATCCAACACGATATAGTAAATATATGTATAAATGTGTATGATCCGGGGTATTAAAAAAAAATGTGTATGAACAAACTATTTTTACGTGGAAACCCGAAAGGTAGAAAACCACGGGACTTTTTAGGCTAATGTCCAAACCCGAAAGGAAGAAGAATAAGCTCAAGAAAAAAGGATCCTTTTACATGGAGGCAAACCTCCTATTTATAGATAAAGGGAGAAAGGGGGTTCTCCACCCTAGTGGGCCGAAATGGGCCCACAGGCCGAAACAGGCCTGATAGGTTAAAATGGGCCTCACTGAATGGGCTTCGTACTACGTAAAGTCTTGAGCTCCTGAACAGTAATAGGCCGGGATAATATATCCCAACACTTACAATGAACAACCGAAAGACAACCGCAATTCAAGCTAGATTTCTGCTTTACGTTTAGCAATCCTACAGGCCGGTTGGGGCTCCACGCTCTTTTTGGGGCACTGAACTTTTCAAGGACGGTGTCGTGGAGAGAAGGGTGGGGAGTGGAGGAAGACGAGTTGCGGATCCTTGCGTGGGAAATTTCCTCCAGCAAGCTATCTGAGAACGATGAAGCGTTGTGCGCTTGCTTGGTTTGATTGGTAGGACTTGTGTGCAATTTTGGAGAGGAATTGGACTGGTTTTATGATTCCAAGCAATTTGAAAATAAATGTGA